TACTGTCCGCTTCCTCTGTAGATTAATCTTTGTGGTTCTCCACAATCGTGTGTTGATGAGAAATGAACATCAGAGGATATGCACAGTTTGGAAGCTTGTCACATAGACTTTCAAGCTGTTCTCAGAGTTGCATAGTGATTTGTGATGCATTTTATGACCCCTTGAAGGAAATTAATTATGATGTCACAAGCTATGTTCCAGCAAGAAAGGGGTGCTTAACACTTGTAGATCACCCCTAGAATCTATTATGGAAAGACATCCCAATTAAGGATGGTCACTGCTGGGGTAGTAGATTACTCCAACACATTTTAATGAGCAAATGAAAATTGACAATGTTAATGAGTCTCTAATTTTGGCTCTGTTTTCTGGCCCTGGGATCCAGATGCCTGAAATCCAGTGCCTAGAATCCAGTGCCTGGAATCCAGTGCCTGGAATCCAGTGCTTGGCTGATGCACATTTAACCTTTGAATCCCATCTGACCAATGAAAGTGAGTAGCTGCTGAGTGAAAGAGAGCCAAGGGCTCTGTCCCTGCCTGCCTGGAAGGGCTTGAGGTCTTTGGCTCACACAGGTCAGCACCGCACAGGGCTTTGGAGGACAGGCTGGAAGAGTCTGAAAAGCCGTGAGTTTGGAGTCACAGGCCTTCACAAGGTCCTCTGCTCTTCTGAACATTTACACACATTGGGGCCAAGGCTTCTTATCAAACTCGGAAAGCCTGGGAGACAGCCCACTGCTACAGACAACCCCTTAATGTCACCTTAGAAAGGTAAAGGAAAAAAGAAAACTAAACCAGGGCCAGGTGGTAGAAGAGTAACATACACACTCATAACTGCTAACAAAAATATTATACATGCTCTAAAAAGATATTTATTAAGCAATTGTTGGTCACTATACACAAGGAAAGGGATTGCAAATTCTGTGAGACAAATATATGAGAGCTACAGTGAAGTCGTAGTTAACATGTACAAAAACCTTCCAAGAAAGAAGCCACCATAATACACCCAGTGACATTTCTGACACACTATGGTGACGTACATGGACCAAGTACAGTAGTGCCTAGGATAATACATGCTACTGATGCTACAGTGTTTAGTGACATTCACAGAAACAAATGTTTTCTGGTACATTAAATCTACAACATTAAATGTGAAGAATGTAAATAATTTTGTAGATTGAGATACATAAGTGTTACCCCTAGTGCTCTCTGTGTCTGGTGGGGCAGAGTTGGGGGGGAGAAGCCTAGAGAGAATACTCATGAATATTTTGGCAAAATTTCTGACCATCTTCATGGGGAATGTTTTCTGAAGGTAGAGGGTTTTTTTCCTTTTTTGACAGTTTTGACAGTAGCTAGAAGTTCTTTGAGCAAAGGCGTGTACAATAAAGACATGAAGTATTAATGGAAATTCTAATAAGTAAGCAAACAATAGCAAAGGCATAAACGCGTAGCATCTAAAAAACAAGTCAATGATGTTGTCCTAGTTGGCTAGCCTTCAGCATCCTGAACAAGTATGCCTTCAGAAGGAAAACCACAGAAGTAAGCTCCACCACAAGCTTCCCCTCAACTGCTTCACATTTGCATTATTGCAATGAACTGCATGACTGGATTCAAGGAATCCGAACTGGGAAGGGGCATGAGCTTAATGTTGGGAGTCTGGTCACACAGGACTCAGACTGTGTAGCTTGCTGTTGATTTTGAATAGCAGCTTGTTTTCTGCTAAAAAACAAATAAATAAGAATCATATTCCCAATCCACTGAACTACCATTTATCACTAATGGTCTATGCTACTTACCATTGCACGCACCAGCTACTGTCACAGTTTAAGTTGCAGAGAAATCACAGGTGATCCGTTAGCTAACACACCATGTTAGACATGGTGTGTCTTCAAGGACATCACCTCTTTCTTTGAACACTGTTATTTACACTAGTTACAATGAAAACAGAATGACTCTATTAGCTTACACATGGTGGTAAGAACATTTTGTATATGTAAATATTATGCAATGTTTTAAAGAGATGCACACTGTTCTTTAAAAGACAAGAGAGTGTAGGCACCAGTCTTACACAAAATCTCACAGTTTTTCTTTTTTAAAAAAAATATTAAATTCAAGTATTTGGATAAATGAAAAAGACAAATGAACTGAAAGTATTCATGTTGAACCTAAAATTGTAACTAACAGAAGCATTTGCCTGAAAAAATTAGACTTAAGTCTACTCTCATCACTTTGGTTTTTCTTGGTAGAGGCCGTCCTAGAGTGTTTCTAAATTTCCTCACCACAGATTTTTAACTTTATTTTTGTTTGCTTGTGTGTTTGTTGAGATGGGCTCTCTCTCTCTCTCTCTCTCTCTCTCTCTCTCTCTCTCTCTCTCTCTCTCTCTCCTCTCTCTCTCTGCATCTCAGGCTGTGATGGAACTCACTAGACAACTCAGGAAGTCCTTGAACTAGTGGTAATCCTCCTGCCTCAGCTTTCAAGTGCTAGGGTTACAAGTATGCACCACCACACCCAGCTAGAATTTCCAACTTAAAGGAATTAATGAACATTAATGTTTAAAGTGATTAGTTTTAACAGTGTCTTCCTGCACTGAAGACTGTGACCTTAACTTTGACACCGCCTAAGTTGTGACAGAACCTGACTTCTGGGTAAGCAGGGCAATAGAAGCAAGGACTATGATGAGAAGCTGGCTCTCTTCTTTTCTGAGTGTCCTCAGTGTGGTTCCCGCTAGCAGACAAATTAGCTCTGTCTACAAATATTGTAGTGATGGCCCATTCAAACGTCTTTGGAGTCAAGAATACAACACCCCAGTGGGATAAATAGCCCATTGCAGTCCTGTGGTGGGGACATTTGATATTTGCCTACTACAGATATCTACTTCATAATTCAAATATCTTTATCTACTGCCGACAGCAACACAACACACAGATGATTGTGAGATCACTAAGAATAAGAAAACTTTGGCTTGTTAATTTCTCAGAGCTCAAAACATAGCAGGCACATACCAAATGTTGGGAAATGGTAGGCATTCCCACAAAGTTTTCTTCAGCATCATTTTCTTTACCCTGAGTCTTAAACGATACACAGATGGTAACTGGCCAACAAAAAAAGAAAGTAATGATTGGAGAGGACAAGTTAGATTTCTCTAAATACATCCCTTCGCTTCCCTGTAGGGGGAAATGCATTTTCCCCTACACTTCCCAGGCTAACCAGCAGGAAACATACTGGCCCTTGCTCTTTAGTGCACTCCCGGATGAGAGTTCAGGGTTACTGGCATGGACCACAGAGTTGGGACCGCTGAAGAAATTAAGCAACCATTCAGAAGTCAGATTTGTTCCTCTCCAAAAACAGTGATAAACATTATGTTTTGAAAACTTGTTTCCTCTCAAGCGTGGTGTATTTCTAGACAAATGCTTCAAGAAGCTGAGGACACTCTTTCTAATTTGCTGAGCACTAGTGAGGAGACGGACTCTGAGTGCACCCATTAAATCTCATGGAACAGAATGCCTCAGTGTACTAGCTGATGTACTCCTAAGAATTAACAGACAGTCAACTTGGTAATATTGGGTGCTTAGAGTGAGTTTCATGTCCACATGGTTTCAGAAATATTTCTTTTAACAGTAATTATAATTATGCTTGTTTCTTTATGTTTCCAAGGCAAGGAGTCAATCCATTACTTCAGCCTAGTAACATTTCCTTTTAAGTATAAGATATCAACTTCCATAAGTGGCTTATCCAGCCCTTTCTGTGGGAGCTGCTCACTTGCAGAATGGAAGCAATCATTGGAATGGTAGATTCAGATAATGCACTTGAACATATAGAAAATAATGTCTTTATAGATGAAAATTTAATCTTTATAGCTAAAAATGCACAATATTTATTGAAAGGTATACTCAATTATGTCCAAGAATGAAACTAGAAACCCATTGACTGTGTCTATCACTGAGCAGTGAGGTCTGAATAGCAAGACCTTACCTTGGAGATAGGACATAGCAGGGACAAGTTGAAATAAATGATTGAAAAATGATTGAAATATTTTTAAGTTTTGAATAGCAATAAGCATAAATGTTGGGGAAATTATGAGCCTGCCTTCAGCATTTGAAGCTTTTTGATATTCTTTAGGTTACTATAAGCTGGCCAGAATAAATAATAATTACCAAAGAAGGCAGTCTATGGTTTTTTACAATATTTCACTTCCTGAATTGATGCATGCAATTGAACTTTGTTTTAAAATGTGTGACTTAATTTTAAGATATAATTCCATTCTCCTCCACCATGAAGATAGAGTGAGTGACTCTAAAATCGTGCTATACTAATATACTATTAAAAACATTTGAAAGGAACAAGTGCTTATTTTTAAACATTTTATGTGAGAGTAATAATTATTTTTCATGCACTCAGGAGTGTCTGCTTGGCATGATAACCACTAGCCACATTTGTCTGTTGAATACTTGAAATGTACCTAGTACAACTGAAGAACTGAATTGCTTATTTTAATTAACTTTGAATTTAAAGAAAAAAGCAAACTATGTTACTTAAAATAAACTTTGAGTGTACTCATGAAATTTAAGCTGTTGAATCTATTTGTCCATGATTAAACTAAATGCATCAAATATTACTAATTAAACCAACTGTCCAACTTTGAGTGGGCTGCATGTGTAAGGAACATAGTAGGTTTCAGAATTACTGTGGGGGAGAAGAATGGAGATTTCTCAATCATTTCCTATTGATTACATATGTGCCTTACATTATGGTGCTTTGTGGAGATTGCTAGCTTTGAAAAGTCATGTCTTAAGTTGCTCATAATGTTATTTCACTTTTATTATGATGAGAAAAGCAAATGGGGTTTAGTGTTTACCCACCAAGAAGGAAAGCCATTGCCCAGTCTGTGTCTACTCTTTCCTCTGAGTGGCAAAGTTGTCAGTAGCTCCAAATGCAAATCACAGACACAAATGTGCCAGGATGGTGCACAAGCGCTCTGATGAGAGCACAATCAAAGCAAACCACACAGGCCCTACCCATCTGGCTTTACTCCCCACCCCCAATTGTCTCCAGATCTATTTGTCTATAATCCTAAACTGACTTTCTGCTTCCTCCCAAGTTCTGCTTGACTATGGCTTCTGGTGTGGAGTGGTGAGCGATGGCTGGGTGTTGCGATGGGCTGTCATGTGTTGATACTCGACTTTGTCCAGGCTCGAGAGCTCTCATCCTTCAGAGTGGAGAGCTTTCTCTGGGAGAAGGATTCAAACCCTAGAAGTTTGAACACGGCCACCCGGTACTTCTTGGACATGATGTTGTAGAGAATGGGGTTGATGGCAGCACTGAGGTAGAAGAGGACGAATGACACGAGGTTGCAGTACTGGCTAATCTGAGCAATCTCCAGAGAGCCAGGCTCGAAGGACTTGGAAAACAGGTATCTTCCCACATGGAAGGGCAGCCAGCAGAGGATGAAAGCGAACACCACCACAGCTGAAGGCACAGATGGAGAGAGACTATCAGTGTGAGGCATGTCACAAATCACGTTACAGTTTTAAGTCTTGCTTTGCTTTTTCCTTCAGTGGCATGCCCACCGACAAACATCATGCATTGCTCTTAACATGGGAAACATGATGTCCTGCTCTTCACATAAATATTGCTCTGCCCGGCTGTCCTGACACCTTTACATGCAGGGAATCTGCCAGACCAACAGCTAAACAATCTTCACCCATCTTCCCAGTCTTGATACTTCATAACTACTCAACTTTGTGTCATTGACTTGATACAATAGCTCAACTAAACAACTGATTAATGATTATCCTCGGTTGATATGCATCACACAGAACAGAAATATAAATGAGGCAAGGTGTTTGTACTCAGTCACAACAGTGAGTCAGAATTCCCAGGGGTACCTCTCCCCCTCCATGCTGGGGTTCATTTAGACACGCCCAGTAAGTACTCAACCACTAAGCAATAGCCCCAGAACCCTCTTGGGCATGCTTTAGAAATGCAGATTCCTTGGCTAGAATATAGATTCATTAAGTTATCTAGGTAAGGGAGGGGGGAAATACCTTCTTTTTCTTTTCCTGTCTTTCCCTTTCTTTTTTCCATTTTTAGGATGGGGCTCTGTTATGTTTTGTGGACTATTGTACCTAGTTTTTTAGAGTAAGTTTCACAAGGGACTGAATATGCAATTGGGATTAGTAGCCACCAAGAAAACAATTCTGTTAATCTATAATAGATATAAATAAATTGTAAGAGGTTGTTAAGCCAGCCGACATTAGTTACCACCCATTCAAGACTTCATTTTACACATGTAAGATTCTTTCTCCAAGAATTCTAAATTTTCAGATTTTAAAATTTAGAAATGAGGGAAAAATAATGTTCTGAGCCCTGTACCACCTTACTGATACCCTTCAGCTTGTCATAGAAGAAGACAATGGACATTGATATTGAGATGCCAGTGGTGAAATTAGTACCTTACAAAATTAGAGGGAATTAGTAAGTTATCTTTAGGACCAAGTCACATCAGAAGAGCTGCCATGCCACAGTAGCACTGCGGTCCTCTGTTGAGTGTGAACTGACAGTCCCACGGAGGACAGAGGAGGCTTACTGACACTCTATCCCTCCTATGAGGGCAACCCTGGTCTGGCAAACAAAATTTGACATCCCTGGGGAAATCTCTATCAATTTGATATGCAAAATTTGAGTATAATAAAATTGCAAATAGGAAATCCTGTAAAAACTAAGAAATATTAAATGGCAATAGCCATGACATGTCTTGAGAAAGTGTGGTCAGATGTTCCTCTTGGATATGAGCATGATCTTCCTGACTTCACTGCACCAAGCCCATGCCTTTAAGGAGGTGGACTCAATACAGTGACCCTGTACCCAGACGTTCCTGAACTACTACTTGAGGTATGCTGGTGGGGAGAAAGGTCATCACAGCAGGTGGAGTCTCCAGCACTCCCCCTTACAAAGCCTTATATAGGCTGAATAAACAGAGTTGCTGTGACTGTCTGAGAAAGATGCAGGGCAGAAAACAAGCCCCCATATTAGAAGCAAACCTAATAGATCCATAAACAGTCTTTAACAGAGTGATCAAACTCTTTGGTTAAATTTACCACGGAGTAATTTCTAAATCCAATCCCTGCCTGCTTGTTACTTTGATAACCACAAATTCTATATGAGGCAGGAAACTGAACCTCGCCTTTTAACACTTGGGGACCTCAAAGGAAAAAAATGAGATATTTCCATCTTGAAGCAAGTTTCGCGAGTAATGTTCATTTTAAGGAATTGCCAATGTGAGAAGCTTTTTCGAGGAGAAGAGAAGATAGAGGAAGGGACAGATGAAGAAAGGGGAAAGCAGTAACTGAGACCAAGAACGGGGAGCGGGGACACAGAGAGAGAGACTGGAGAGGCATGGGGATGCAGAGAGGGCGAGAAACAGAATAGAGGGCAAGCAGGGAGGAAGAAAGACCGCCTGGCTCAGGACTCACCAAGCATCTTCACCGTCTGCTTGTGGTTCTGGTCCCTGAGTGAGGCGCCCACCGCCGCGTCGCCGCGCCTCCGCCACAGCTTCCTCCCGATGAGACTGTAGAGCACGGTGAGGCAAAAGACCGGTAGGAAGAAGAAGACGCTGGATACCCACACCATGACGGTGAGCAGCCCGGAGCGCACCGCGAACTCGGTGGCGCGGCACTCGTTGGTGTCCCGAGGGTCGGTCCCGTTCTCGTGCTCCACGCCCACCAGCACGAAGATGGGCCCCGCGCTGCAGAAGGCCACGGCCCAGATGACAAGGATGACCAGCTTCACGCGGCCCTTGGTGACCACCACCTTGGCCCGCAGCGGGAAGCAGATAGCAAAATAGCGCTCGACGCTCAGCGCGGTGATGGTAAGGACCGTGGCATAGGTACAGCTCTCGCTGACGAACTGGAAGAGTTTGCAGAGCAGGTCGCCGAAGTTCCAGGGCCGGTACTGCCAGAGGCGGACGAGGTCCAGCGGCATGCACAGAAAGATGAGCAAGTCGGAGAAGGCCATGCTGGACAGGTAGAGGTTGGTGGTGGTGCGCAGCTCGCGGAAGCGGGACACCACCAGCATGGTGAGCAGGTTACCCGAGATGCCCACCACAAAGAGTGCCACGCAGGTGGCGGTGACGCCCGCCAGCAGCGGCGCGGGGAACAGCGGCAGAAGCTCGTCCGTCAGTGAGTCGTTGCCGGGGGAAGCGTCCCAGTCCAGGTCTCTAGTGACGTTAGGCTCCAGCTCCTCACTGGGCGTCGCGTTCCACATACTGCTAGGCTTAGGGCTGAAAAGGCGCGGAGATCTGTCCCCCCGAGGAGGTCCCCTTAAGCGCGGGAGAGTGCAAGGGAGAAAGAGGCGCCAGCGGCGTGCGGGAAGGATGCTTGGAGAGGAAAGAGAATGAGAAGCCTAGGGAGAAGGTGGATTCGGGTGGAAGGATTAGATGGGAATGGAAGAAAGTGACCCACTGCGCACCTCTCCCACTTTCCTTCCCTTCCTCGATCTCTCCCTCCCTCTCTCCCTCCCTTCTTTCCTCGTCTCTCTTTTCTTCCCCTTCCCACTCTCTTCCCCACAGTCCTTCTCTCCCATACCAGCCTCAGATGGCGCACACAGTCACTTACCTGTCACCCTGTCACCCGAGCAGAGCCAGCAGCACTGCCTGGCATTGGAGAGCTCGCCCCAGTCGCATGTCGTAGTACTGCCCACAGCGTCCGAGTGCGTGGGCTCCGCAGAAGGCAGGCGCTGCAAAGACAGAGTTGAGGACTCCTCTCTCTAGCCTTGGGCGCTAGGGTGGCCGTGAAGGACAGGTCATTCGGGTAGAGGAGTGAAAGGTGGAGAGGTCATGGCGTAGAGAAGAAAAATGCCTTCAGCAGCAGGATAAAGCCCTTCCTCCACTGGGGGTCCAGTTGGTTCCTTTCCTGGTGGAGAGAAAAGGGGAGCCTGCCTCTCGTTGGGGAAAGAAGGGTAAAGAGAAAAACAAGCTATTTATGTTCAAATCTGAAGAGACAGTGCGCACCTGGGAAGAGCTCTCACAATCTTAGAGCACTCCTTCATGGTCGTCTGGAAAAACCAGAAGTGTGTATCCTAGTCTGAGGTCACAGAACAAGACCAGAACGGGTTCACTCCACAAGTGTGCCAAAAAGCCCCGGTCCTAAATCCCAGTCCCCTGAGTGGGTGTGGGGAAGGGGCATGCTGGATGAGCTTGAGTATCACTTTACCAGCTGTAAACTACAGGCAAGACGGATTGCCACAAAGCATGGCCCAGGGGAAAGTAGGTGGCAAGGGCATGAGCAAGAAGCAGACAGTGCTGCGAGGCAGGAGCACGTCGAGGAGGCACAGTAAACTTGTTTATTTTTTTTTTATTTTTTTTTTTTTTATTTTTTTTTTTTTTATTTTTTTTTTTTTTATTTTTTTTTTTTTTATTTTTTTTTTTTTTAAGCATCACTTGGAGACATCAGCTATTTAGAAGCTGGTTTGTTGTTGTTTTTTCTGGCAGGATCTCCTACCTTTGGAACTTTAGTTTGATGTTGTTTCTTTGTAAAATTATAGACAGCGTGAGGATCATTGTGGGTGGAAGCCAAGCTTTGGAGATACATGAACCATTCAATAAGTTAATAAGGGCTGCATTGCTTCGTGGTTGCTGACGGAGACAGGGGATCTTATCCGGCGGGAAAGGACCTCAAGGAATCCCTATAGTATGAAGGGTCTTCTGAGAAGGTCCATTCATCTGCTGTCCAGATCTGGGAACTCACACCTAAAACACTGAGAAGAACTTTGTAAGAATAGAAGCCCCTCTGGCTGCTTCCCTCCCACACACGGAACCTTTTCAGCACCTCGGCCAGCGCCCGGCCCCGTCTGTCTGTGCCTTGAAGCCTGAAGCCTTTCCCAACAGCTGAGTCCTGTGGCCTCCCAGCGGAAGGGAGACCACCCATCAAAATACAGATCAACCATTAAGCCCCTATCTAACAAAGTTCCCCTACTCCTGGATAAATAATTCATTAACTACAATTGAGAGACTTTTGCATACCGGAGTGTAATACCATATGTCTTGGCTAGATAGTTTACTTAGTCTTAGTAAGTACTTACTTAGGTACTTACTTACCTAAATTGTTAGCGCACAAGTTCGTAAGACGAGCAACCGGATGTATGCACATGTTCACTAGAGATTCAGAGTGAAAGAGAGGCTGTGTGGGACAAGTTTGACTCACAGTTTGCCTGTGAGGGCACTACATCGTGACTTAATGTCACTGTTGCATTACAGACTTTGGACCAAACTGACTTTGAAATGATCTAAAATATTGACAAATCCAGAGCCAACAAGATAGTCCAGCAAGTAAAAGAGCTTGCCTCCAAACCTAATGAGCAGTGTTCCAGCCTTGGAACCCATATGATGGCAAGGGAACAGACCGTGGCAAGTTGTCCTCTGACATCCGCATGTGCATGTGAGCAGCTACATATGATAACTAAATAAATAAACAAACAAATACAAGTAAAATAGATTAGATATAAATAAATATGCATTATGTTATGAAGAAGCAGCAGAGAGTTTTGTTGAAATTGATCCATTTCTTCACAATGATAACCTACATAACACTGTCTTTAGATGCATATCAAACATTGCTAATAGCAAAATAGATACAATCCAGGCAGTTTAGGTATGTATAAACTTCTAGTCTACAGATAAAAACACAGTTAGGCAAGCCATCCAAGGACAGTATTGAAAGGGGGGGTTAAGAGGCATCTACAATGAGCTTGTAATAAAAACAATTGTGTTACACCGAGCTTGAGAAAAAACTTCTCAGAGGATCAGGGAAAGGAACTGATCTTGAAGAGGCTGAGTTCTTTCAGAACAGCAAAACTTGTGTGACTGTTCAGAAAAAGAGCACAAAGCAGGTTGGACCTCAAACAGTAGCCCATGCTCTTGTGTTGGCATGGGGAGAGGAGTGATGTTGTAGGCCATGGACCCCTATAGTCAATGAGTAGTGAGAAACCACAGGTGATTTTCTTTTGACATCAGAGTTGACCCAATGTTTTCCTTCACACTGGTCCAGTGTCTTCTTACATGTTTCAGATTTTAAGAACTGTGTTGTGCTGTGGAGCATCAGAAGTTGGGCACTCACCATGTAATTTTTTTTCACTCTAGATGGGAATAAAACAGTTCTCAAAAACTCTCTGATACTTGTGTGGAGAGTGGAATTTGGGGAAAACTCTATCTGGACAGGGGGAGTCATTTCTATTGCCTGGGAGCCTTATGAACCATCACTTTCTGCAGAGAAGCATAGGAATATACATGTACATGTGTGTGTGTTTCATATTCTAGCCAGGAATGCAAAATCTTAAATGGGATCACAAGGAAGCATCAAACTCCAAGTCAGAAATAATTGATTTAACAATTCCTCAAAGGCTGTGTTATATAAGATAAAGTAAAGCTAAAGCCCAGTGTTTCATATATAGCAGACGCAAAGCAAATAGTGCATGAGAGGAGCTGATTATTCTTGACCATCGTTTCAAATCAGAAAATGCTCAGGATCCAATGACAAATAATGACTAAATGTTGCTCCTTGTTTGCCACAGAATCAAAACTACCTGAGAGGACATTCTTGTGCCAACTCACACTTAGATATGAGTAGTTGAATAAATAGAATTATTAGGTTAACATCAAGTTGCTGAGCTTGATAACTCTATGGAAAAGAATAATGTGATGCTTAGAGGTACACACTCATCTGTGATATATGCAACTTACTATTAATTGTTTAAGAAAGTTGTGTGTGAGCACACACTCGACCCCACACTTGCATGCATGCATGCATGGGGGTTTCCTATTTGTGAACGGATAGAACAACTGATAAGATAGAGCTGAAAATGTAAATGACAATTGAATCTGGGGCTGGGGAAATGGCTCAGTGAGTAAGAGTGATTTCTCAGCAATTATGGAGACCTAAGTTTGAAGCCAAGCACTTCTGCACATGTCTGCTACCCACCCCAGGTTTGGCGATGGAAACAGGCAGATCTCAAGAGCTCAGTAACCAGCAAGTCTCGTATAAAATGCAAGCTTGCAGTGCAGTAAGAGGCCTTGTCTCAAGGGAATAAGGCAGACATCCTGCTAGGGCCTGGACATGCACATAAAGAGACAGATGCACAAATCTGAACACTCGGGTGACTATACCACACAAACATACAATATGCGCCCCCACACACAGAGCAGGTAAATCTGGAAAATGGTAGAATTAATTTTTCTTACAACTTTTCTATAAGTTTGAAATCATATTTAAATAAGAGGTATGAATGCCATGTTTTTTTGTGTGCATTTTTGTAGACACTCCCAATTCAATTTTCAATTAGATATTTACCTTCTTGATTTTGTATTTACATTCAACAACTTGGTTCCTAACAACATAAACATAATTATTTAGCTTATTAATACAATACTCTTTAATCTATTTCAATCTAATAACATTGAAATCACTGCTAGTAAAATTGACAATGAAGCTTGGTGTTTTCTTGCAATTCTTTTTTGTCCTTATAATAAATATACCCCGTGTGTGTACAATTACTGTGCTCTAAGGTACATGGCCTAATGCTTTGCCATGTGTTATCAATCACCTTGTCAATGTAGTGTATGATGTAGCTTCCAGTTACCTTCAAGTTTAGTAGTTATTTTTAACTTTGTCTTCAAATACATAACACACTTATATATTCAAGAGAATGTTTAAATTATTACTTATTTATCTTATGTGTATAGCTGTTTTACTTTCTTGTGTGTCTGTGCAGCTCGTGTATGCAATGCCCATGAAGGCCAGAAGAGGGAGTAAGATGCCCTGGAACTGGAGCTAGAGATAGCTGTGAGCCACCCTCTGGATTCTGTGAATAGAGATCGGTCCTCTGGAGGGGCAACCAGAGCTCTTAACTGATGAACCATTTCTCCAGCCTCTCAACTGGCTCTTTAACTGTATCATGATTTAAATGTAAAGCTCTAAAATAAAACATATCCAGGATAATGTTTCTTTTCATAATTCCCAATAGATCAATTTTTTAAAAAAAACTTTATGCCTGAAGTAGTGGCACATGCCTTGAATCTCAACACTCTGGAGACCCAGAATATAACTTTAAAACCTCTTGAAGGGAAAATATAACTTTAAAACCTCTTGAAGGGAAATTGAAAGCAAAATATAATAAAAAAATAAAGGTGAGGCATAGTGATACCAGACGGGGACTGTGGGTGTACTCAGTGGTAGAGAGCTTGTCTAGCAAGCACAAGGCTCTGGGTTGAC